ACGATGCGGCTGATGGTCCACCTCTCACTGGTACGAGGTCGGCTAAACGTTGCTGCATCACGACAGTCAATGCTGGCTCGCATGGGCCGCTGTTTGAGTATCTCTCGGAGTACCAGGGCTCGGTTCTCTTGGCGCAGGAGACCAGAGTCGTGGAGGCCCGTTTAGGAGAATTCCAGAATAGGGCGAGGGATGCAGGCTGGCACGGGCTGTGGTCAGCAGCGTTAGAGACGGGCGAGTCGGCCATGTCCAACTCGAGTGGGGTGGTGGTCTTTGCTCGCACCAACATCGCCATCACCGCCCCCCCTGACGGCAGCCATGTGATATATCCTGGAAGAGCGGTATGCGCCCACGTGCAATGTGGGGTCCCAGGTGGCATTGTCTTTGCTAGCGTTTACTTTGTGACGGCGATTGGCATGACTGGAGAAAATCTTGCTATACTTTGGGCAGTTGTGCAGAGGATTGCTCAGTGGCAGGCTCTGGGACTGGACTGGGTGATAGGCGGAGATTGGAATTGCGACTTCTATGCCGTCAATGTCAAAGGTTGGGTCGAGAAGCTTGCAGGCCTGGCGTTTGTTCCGTCGGAGGCCACGTGCATTACCGACGCTGGTTCGTCCAAGATTGATTATTTTCTGGCCGCCAGCAACTTGGTTCCAAGACTCGACAGGCAGGCGGTGGTGATGAATGCCCAAGCCACCATTCCACCTCCACATTTTCCCGTGCAGCTGGTGGTCCATGGGTCGGACAGGCCCATGTGGTGTCGAGTTGCTGATGAACCGAGGAAGTTTCCCCCGATCCCACCAGTAGGATGTGCGAGGTACCCTTACAACTGGGACGGGATCAAAGGCATGCTTGAGTCGGTGAAGGCGCCCAGTGACTTACCGCGTGTGTGGGATGCAGTACTTGATGGCGTTGATTTTGAGATCGCTGGGAGATTTGACAAAGTCGATGGTAAGGCCCAGGAATTCGTTGGACGAGCTGGACCCCCGAGATTCAAATGGGAACAAACGACATGGACTCCACCTCGAAAGCGAGAATATCGAGACTCCAGGGTAGCTGCGTGGGCCACGGCAAAGCGTTGGGTGGCCCACTTGCGGTCGGAGAAGGATAAGCTGCACCGTTTCTGTGAGCGGCTCCGAATATGCAGTGCGGTGTGCACGTTAACCGAGATGCAGTACTTCAAGGTGCTGCAGGCGTTCGACGAGGCTGGGAGATATTGTGTCAAGATTTCTGCTGAGCAGTGGGTGCTCAAGGATTTGGGTGAGGAGTTCAGTGAATTTCTGCAAAAAGGGTTGGTGATGATTGTCGATCCAAACTTTGAGAGTATCACTGATGCCATTTCCGCCCAGGCCGACAAGGTTTTAGGCCAGGAGCGTTCTAGAACGGAAAAGATTTGGAGAGAATGGGCTCGTGAGTCTTTCTTGGAAGGGGCCACTCGGGCCCATGCGATGTCCAAAGTCCGAGCACAAGCTGAAGTACTCCAATATTGTCAGGAGTCGCAGCCATACCAGCTTGCTGACCAGACTTTGCGGCAGTGGTCCAAGGTATGGACGCACCATCGGCTTCAAGCGCCTGATCTTCCCTCGGATTCCAGTGAGTGGGACGCTCTTCCCCATATCTCTTTTACTGATGTAAGGAATGTCGTGAGGTCCTTTTCGACCAAGACAGCTGCTGGCCCTACGAGGTTGGCGCCGAGGAGTCTGGACGTCCTGTCCGACGGCGCGCTCCAAGCTATTGGCAACCTTTTCATGTTATGTGAACGGTGGTTGTGCTGGCCAGCAGATCGAATATACAGCGAACTCGTGCGACTGCCGAAACCCGATGGCGATCACCGATTAATTGTTCTGAGTAACACACTGATACGTGTATGGGGGAAACTCAGGCGACCGATTTCGAGGGAATGGCAAGATAGATATGCCTGCCATGAGATGTGGGGCACGAAATCGGGGCAGACTTCGAGCGATTCGGCATTCGACCACAATTTGCAGCAGGAGATTGCCGAGTTGCTAGGGGAGAACACATGCACGATTCTTTTGGATATGTCCAAGTGCTACGAGATGGTAGACCCTCACGCTTTGTTGCGAGAAGGGAGAGCCTTGGGGTTCTCTATGCGATTGCTGTGGATGCTCGTGTGCAGTTACCAGCAGCCGCGAAGGATTCGCGCGTTTGGTAGCGTATCGGTTGGGCAGGTATCTTACCAAGGAATTTTGGCGGGTTGCACGCATGCTACTTTCCTCCTCTACCTGCTCACGTACAGGGCTGTCAGTAGAGCAAACCAGGTCTCGGTCACGGTTACGCCCCGCACCCTCATGGATGATGTCGGGCTCCAGTCCATCTCGAAGGCCCCTGAGGACCTCAAGTATCTGGCCATTGCGGCCAAGGGCTTCGTCCACGATTCCAAGGGGCTGGGTATGGTTTTAAATGCTGCGAAGTCAGGCGGGATCCCTGGGAAAAAACGTCTCTGGAAGACCGTCAGTAAGTACATGGGCTCCATGAATATCCCGTTCAAGGCCCACATGAGGAACTTAGGCCACGAGTTGTCAGGACCTCGAGTTTTGCGTAGGATCGAGAAGCGTCGCCTGACCAGTTTTAGAGATCGCCGCCAGCGTTTCACCAAGCTGCGAAGGGCGACAGGCAGGCGAGTGACATCGTTGTGGAGGACTGGGGCCCTGCCGTCATTGGCCAGGCGCCACTGTGAGGCACTCCAGAGCGACAAGGCTAATTGAAGCAGTCAGGCAGATTCGTGCGGTCCTCACTGGGGCTCTGAGATCCACACGAGGCTCCGGCGTACTTGCTCTCTGACCAAAGCGGACAGTATGACCCATATACCATGGGACGTGTGCGGTTTTGATTAAGTATTCGGAATGGAATTGGGACACCACACATGGGACCGAGCATGTCCAGGGCTGGGAGAAGCTTCAACGAGAAGTTTCGGGGGTTGTGCAGAAGGCTTGTGGGCAGGCCAGGGGATGGCGGCCATGGTGTCGCTTCGAAGGATCTCTTGGGACCTTGTCGCCAGCCACGTTGTTAGGGACGACCTAGGCCGAGTCTACGACCTCAGGACGCTGAGCCCAGCAGATTTCAAGCACTTCTTGACCGAGGGAGTGCAGAGGTGGCAACACGGCCGCCTCTTGCGGCATCTTTATACTGTGGGTGACGGAGTAGCTATTCCAGTCTGGCACAGGGCCCTCAGGTATGCGATAAAAGGGATTCGATGCGTGAAGCGTCTTGGAGCGATTCAGGCACACTGGGCCGACGGTATCCCTATACCTGCCAGGCTGGATTTGAAGGCTGGAGGCCGATTCCGTCCCTGCGCAGCTTGTGGTCGCCAGATCAACGAATGCTGGGGACACATTCTGTACGATTGCCCTGCTCTCTTGGTGGGCGTCCCCGATGATGAATTTGCTGCCCTGCCTGAACAGCTCGTCGAAGTGCGAGATCGCCTGGTGAATTCTGGAGTCGGGGCAGGTCGCCCCGAATGGGACTACACATACCCTGTCTATGGGATCCCTGAGCTTCCTGTCGGGCTACCTCCGAGAGATTCTGTGAGTTCTGAAGTTTTGTACTGGGGCGATACCGAAGGGCAATGGGGGCCAAAGTCGTACACGGACGGTTCGGGGTTCGGGTCGAATGTGCCAGAAACCAGGAGGTGTGGCTGGGGCCTATGCCAGTTGGACCCCGACACTTTCTTGCCGAAGCGGGCGATTTTCGGACCATTGCCGTATCTAATCCAGACAGTCGGTCGTGCTGAAAGATATGCTATACGAATGGGGCTGGTTGTTCATCCAAACCACGAGGTTTTCGTGAGCGATTTACTCTCTTTGGTGGAGGAGGGGAATGCTTGGTTGGACGAACTTCAGCACGGCCGAAAGCAGCATGCACGTGTGTGGCGAGATATTTTTATTGCAGCTGAGAGGCGGGACAAGAAGCTGCCGCCTCCAGCATTCCAGTGGACCCCTGCGCATCGAGACATCGAAGCTGTGGTGTCGAGCGGGGCTGGTACTACGGAAATTCAAGATTGGCTCGGCAATGCCTGGGCGGATTTTTTCGCAAGAGTTGGCGCTGCTCAACATGCTGTCGCAAAGGTGACGACTGAGAGCGTGGCGTCCGCCCTGAAAGAGCACCGACTGGTTCTTCAGTATGTGTCCTGGGGAATCCAGATGGTGGTGGAGTCTCAGAAGTACGGACGAGATGTGTTTCCAGGGCCCCGTCCAGTTGAGATTCGTGCGCCTGTGCTCTTTCAAAAAGCGGATGATCATGTATTGTACAAGAACGTCAAGACGGGCGTTTTCAAGTGTAGAAGGTGCGGGGCCTCAGCCCGCACGCCTGCATCCTTCGACAATCTGCGTGTGGGTGGGGGTCGGAAGTGTGTGCCCAGCAAGATCACCCAGGCCCTCACAAAAGAGTTCTTCAGGACGTCCCTCGACGTGTGGGAGATGCCAGTGAGTGATGCGCGCGTGGCCGCTGCCCTCGATGCCGCTGCCGCCTTAGAGCCCCAAGGAGCCCCCGAGGAGGCCGAAGGAGGCCCCTCCCAGCCACCTGTGCTCGACGGGGCCTCTAGGGAGGATGCGGACCCCCTCATCCTGGAGTGTGGGGCTCTAGGGCACGATGTGTTCCGTGTTAATTCAATGTATTGCTGCCGTCGTTGTGCAGGGCATTGTTCAGTGTTGCAGGTTAATAGTCTCAGGAAGCTGAAGCGTGAGTGTGTAGGCCTCTCTGACACCCTCAGCACTCGGAGGAACCAGCTCAGGGCGATCGACAGGATCAGCCGTGGGCTCGAGCCACGTCAGCGAGGAGGGGACCCCGAGCCCCCGCCGTAGGCTGTTTTTGGTCTGGGCCCCCAGGT